AGGGGCTCTGATCCTGTGGAGGGGTAAGTGTATTGTTCCTGACCGCCACACAAGGCCGGTTAGGGAACACACAATATTCCCGCCACCCTTATCTCCCTGGCTACTCCAAAGGGGCAGCTTCCCCCAGCCAATCCCTCTCTCCTGCAACGCCATCCCAGCTTTCTGCCTGGAACCCATATCCTCCCCTCTCCTTTTTTCGGGGCTTAAATTCCTCCATCTCAGCCGGGGTGGGCACCGCGGGACGTACAGGCGGTGAGTGCAAAGGGACGGAAATCCCTTTGTTCTAATAGCCTGCCTGCAGCAAGCTAAGGCTGCAGGCAAAGTGATTCCTGGATAGCAAGGGGCACTAATCCAGTAGCAAAAGACCCAGCGGAGGGAAGAGCCATTGGAGAGCATCTGAAGGAAGAGATGGGCAGGCGCCAAGGCAAGAATTCCTCCAACAATCTGAAAAACAACACGAAAACACCAGATCTCAGCGATCTTATGACAGAAGGACTTGAACACCCTATACCGGAAGAAGTGGAAAACAGTGTCATTATAAAAGCAATAGAGTCTCTTAAACAGGGTATGAATAACTCACTTAGAGAAATAGAAGAGAAATATAACAAAAAGATGGAAGAAATGAGTAAAGAAATGGAAGACAAATATAACAAAAAGTTTGAAGAAATAAGTAAATTCGTAAATGATACCCTGGGAAACCAAGAAAAAACAATCAAACAGGTAATGGAATCAGTTCAAGAATTGAAAACTGAAATGGAGGCAGTGAAGAAAACACAAACCGAGGACCGGCTGGATATGGAAAATCTAGGTAAACAAACAGAGACTTCAGGAACAAGCATAACCAATAGAATACAAGAGATAGAAGAACGAATCTCAGATTATGAAGATACCATAGAGAAAATAAATGCCCTGACCAAAGAAAACAGCAAATCCAACAAATTCTCATCACAAAACATTCAGGAAATATGGGACATAATAAAAAAACCAAATCTAAGAATAATAGGAGTAGAAGAAGGAGAAGAATTGCAGACCAAAGGTCCAGAAAATATATTCAACAAAATTATAGAAGAAAACTTTCCCATCCTAAAGAGTGATATTCCTATGAAGGTGCAAGAAGCATACAGAACACCGAATAGACTGGATCAGAAAAAAACATCCCCTCGCCATATAATAATCAAAACACAAAGCATTCAGATTAAAGAAAGGATATTAAGAGCTGCAAAGGAAAAAGGTCAAGTAACCTATAAAGGTAAACCTATCAGACTTACACCAGACTTCTCTATAGAAACCATGAAAGCCAGAAGGTCCTGGATAGAGGTACTGCAGAAACTAAGGGACCATGGATGCAAGCCCAGATTAATATACCCAGCCAAGCTTTCATTCACTATCAACGGAGAAAACAAAATATTCCAGGATAAAAACAAATTTAAACAATACGTAACTACTAATCCAGCCTTACAGAGAATATTAGAAGGAAAATTACATCCCAAGGAATCCAACATTGCCAACACTGACTACAATAACTCAGACATCTAGCGACCCTTCACTAGCACAACTCAAAGAAGGAAAACACATACACTCTACTACCCAAAAAAAAAAAATGACTCGAGTCAACAACCACTGGTCATTAATATCTCTTAATATCAATGGACTCAATTCAACTATAAAGAGGCACAGACTTAGAGATTGGATACGAAAACAGGATCCAACATTCTGCTGTTTACAAGAAACACACCTCAACCACAAAGACAGACACCTACTCAGAGTAAAGGGTTGGGAAAAGGTTTTCCAAGCAAATGGACCTAAGAAACAAGCGGGTGTGGCCATTCTAATATCTAACAAAATCGACTTCAAACTAAAATCAATCAGAAGAGATGGAGATGGACATTTCATACTCATAACAGGAACAACTCATCAGGAAGAAGTCTCAATCCTGAATATCTATGCCCCTAATATAAAGGCACCCACTTATGTAAAAGAAACTCTTCTAGAACTCAAGGCAGTCATCAAACCACACACGCTAATAGTAGGAGACTTCAACACTCCTCTCTCACCAATGGACAGGTCAATCAGACAGAAACCAAACAGAGAATT